CTTAAATTCTGAGTGGGGTGGAAAAAACAGACTGCTCCAGTGATAGCTGCAGTTGGAAAGGAGATAATAACTGCTGAAAAGTGAAGCAGCTGTCCCAGTCCTTGCTTGCATTCTCTATCCCATTCACCAACCTCTGCCTTCAGTGATATATAGTTAATGTGCTGCTTCCTGCTGACTACATGTCATGGTTGGAAATTTGGTAAATGCAAACTGTTCTAAACAAGCAAACTGGTTTCCCCATGTCCAGTCAGAGCTATTTTACAGTTTTTCTTTAGGAAGAGAAATGACAAATGTAATATATTAACATTTGTCTCTTGAATATTAGTGTAACAAACAATATCACACAGGAACAGCTGGTGGATTTTTTTTTCCACGTTGAGAACAATGTGTTTACCCTGGCACTACAAAACCCCAGTCTTGAGGTTTGGGTGTGTATATGTTGAAAACCAAGCTTTTACAGTAGCTACTGTGTAAATTAGGAAGTTCTGATTAACAGTGGTAGCAGAATTATTAACAACTTCAGCAGAAGCTGTATGTGTGTGTTAAGTGTCAGAAACCAACCTTTGGTAGTTACACATTTTTCTCAATTTTTGCTTTGATTACCGAACTTGAATTTCAAAATAATAACTCTAGATGACACAGGTTTTCATTAGAGTTCCAGGTGTCTTATAGGGTTAAGAAACTGAAGTGCAAACAGAAGATCTTTGAGCGGGACTAGGTAAGGCTTTAATACAGAAAATATTTCATTCAATGGCTCCTTTAGAAGTGGTGCATCAATGGCCTTTGATGAAGCACCACATCATGCTTGGGTAATAACTACAGAGGAAAGATGTTACCGCTAGGAACTGCAAAAGCAATAGTGGGCAGATATAGTGCAACTTCTGGAATTCACATTTGGAAAGAATAAAACTGGTAACTGAGATTTTCTTTGAAAAATTCTCATTTGTTTTTTAGTGATAGCAGGACTTGGGACTTGCATGGATCAGACTTGTCCCCTCATTGACAACAAAGTTGACCCTTGTCCTGCTAGGAGAAGGGTTTTGTGTTACCCACAAAATCTGAGTGAGGGACTTCACAAAGGTTATAGAGACAAAATGGAAATGACAGAACTTAACCCATAACCCATTAATTTATAAGTAGTTTATCTGTGAAATACATTAAAACTTCAGACTACTCTGGACCAGGACTTCAGATCCACTCCCAGCAAATACTGAATCCAAAGGAAATATGTGGGTAGTGGCTGGCTCTTTCTGATGCCAGTGTTTAAAATGACCGCTCTCACTGCTGAGCAATTTCCTAAGCCGATGCGATGATCTGGCAGCATTTCTAGGTTTTTTGTACAAGTTAAAACCCCGAAGAATTCAGAGTGCCCATGGTCAGCTTAAAAATTAAGAAACATAAATCCTATTATTTTGGAACTGTGATGTAATATTTGACTAAGAGGGATTCACAGTGGCCCCTAAAAATAATACTGATGTCCATGTTTCTCACTGCAAGCAGTTTGGCTGAATATGTATCTTGTTCATTCTATTTTTAAGTAGAACATGAAATATAGTCTTGAACCTGCTGAGGAAATTTGGATTCGGGTTTTTTTAGTTCCTCAAACTGCAATCCATCTGAAAAAAGATTTATGTTAAGTGTCAATGTGATTCTCAAACAGGAAAAAAGTTGATCATGATGAACAAATAAGATGCAAAGGTAGCTCACCACACCTCAAAACCTCAAAGCCCAACACCCCTCCCCACAAACCCAGAGATTTCCTGACCTCGTTTTTTGCACAACCAAAAACACAACAAGTGTGTGTGTGTGTGTGTTTCCATGTGTAAATTGTGACTTGCTAAGTCAGTCCTTAGTTTATGGCAGATGAAAAGTTTTATCCCATATTGAGAGACTGGTTTACTTTCTCATGACTAGTGGGTAGGGACTGGATGGTTGCTGGTCCTCAGGGATGTGTTGATCCTGCCTAAGGATACATACATAATTAGTGCTCTACATAGAAAAGCTTTACATGTTGTAAAATAGCCAGGCACGTTTCCTGCTGCAGAGGTTTTGAAAGAGAAGTTGTATTTTTAAATAAAGGCTACAATTAACTGAAAAACCAATTCTTAAAGAGACATGAGTGGGCTTTCAGATAGGCTTGAATTGTGCAAAGAATACCTCAAGGAGTGTAATATGTAAAATTAGTAGAAATCCAGGAAACTACACAATATTAGCTGTCACAAATCACAAAAGAGGCATGGTGTGGGCAGGAGCCGTGAGGCTCTGGCTCCCCATGCCTGCTGCCATGGTGCAGTGCAGTGAAGGGCAGCAATGCCCAACCCTGTCCTGGTAAAGTTTGCCACTTGTGGCTCTCAGAGCAGTGGTATGTTTCATGGAGTCTGAAGCTTTTTAAAGAACAATTACAAGAATACGCTTCCAAGTAATACAAACAAAATGAAAATGTTGATTTTGGTTTTCACTTGGGTTTTCAAAGATTTACCACTTCTGCTGTGAGGAGGAATCTGCATAACTAGATGTTTGTGGCAGAGCCCAGCAGGGGTCAAAAACTAAGCGATCCCAGTATGGGGTATAAACTGGAATACTTTATTGAACACGCGCTTCGCAATGTAAGGGTCTTGGGGCAGGGCATGTTAATGAGGAGGATGAGCTATGTTAATTAGGGAATTACACAAATTTTACAGCAGTTTACCCAATAGGTTAATATTTCCCTCAACCAGGATTACGTAAGGGGAAAGGGATTAAAGGGTTTAGAAATGGTCTGATACAATTATCTCAAGAGTCCTTTCTTAATTCTGCTGGAGCCAGGCTTAACCCATAAAGTTGAACTTTTACAGGTCTTGTGAGAAGGGTTCAGCTCTTCGGATCACAGGATTCTTGTCAGTCTCTGTTGCCCAAGGCCCACTGCATTGACTCATTAAACTCCGTTCTGCAGATATTATATTTTTGGGGTCCTGCAGAGCCCAATGCCTAGAAACTCTCCTGAAGCTTTTAATCTCATACAAATGCTCAAATATTGATCAATAAGACCATGCATGTAAAATGGCAAATTCTATATAATAACTCGCAAATATGTAGCATAAAACTTGACAATGTTACACTGACAATCCTTGGAAGTCTTCCGTTGCATGGTATGGCAAAGAAGACAGGAGGAGTGTAGGTTGTCAGAACGGGCTCTTGACTTGGAAGTGAAGGATTTTTGCAGATGCAGCTTCACATGTTGTAGCTTGCAGAGGACTCGGGTCTGAGGAGGCAGTTTGACTCTCAGTAGCAAGTCTGCCCCACCAAGAGGATGATCCATATGGCAGGAATATGATGCATTGTGCTGGTGATGGGTAGGATTGCTGGGAAAGAAACCACTGGAGCGAAGCAGGAAAAGGCTCTCCTTTCCTAGGAAGCTAGCAGAAAGCCCTGGGTTTTCACCTTTGACTTTAGAGACTGCATGTGGATCATATTTAAAGGTGCCTTTTACTCTTCCCACTCAGTAACTCACCATTGTCTGAAAAATCAAAGTAAAGTTAAATAAACCAAGCAAGATTGCATTGCTCAGCTTGGCAATCCACCCTCTTCAGGCTGATTTCATGCAGATGACTTCTTGTTTAGTCTCAGAGCACCTTCCTCTTTCTTTCTGCACATCTTAGCATTTCTTTAAAAAAACATTGTAAAAATACCATATCTTAAAAATAACACTTTCTTGAGGGTAGGAACAGACAGACTTGTTTTCTACCACTTGATTAGGCAGATTGAATTTTGAAAAGTAATTTGATTTCAAGTGACACTCATGCTACACAATCTTAGACAGTAAGTCTGGAGTCTGGAAGTCCACTTATAGTTGAAAACTACAAAATTGAGCATATATTACATATTTACACCTAATACAAAGAATTTTATGAAGAGGTATCTTTTTTTTTTTTTTTACAGCAGAGCAGGATGACTATTCAGTAACAAAAAAATGGATTATTTAATATTTATGGAATTATTGTATATGGAAAATTGCTCAATGGACACATTCTCCTCCAAGCTTTCTTAGAAACAAGGTGATACCAAGGTCCTCAAAGAAAGAGCCTACTCCTCACACTGATACTCTAAAACAATTCATTTGTGTTATTTGAAAAGTGAGAGCGCTTCTTCAGTTCCATCAGTGTATAAAAATGGGACCCCACTGTTACAGACTTGTTTTGTAAGATTTGTCCTTGATTTTTCCTTTTAAGTTGATTTCAACTTCATTATTGGCAACAATCCTTTTTCCATTTACCTAACTCTAGTCACCATTGCCAATAAACATCTCCTTTGCCCTTGCAGCAGATGATGGCTGTAGTTTCCCAAGGAGGTCACTGGTAAAGGGGTCTCAGTTGTCTGATTGACATTTTCCTCCCCCAATGCACTGTTATTGCAAGAGTAAAAAGGATATTTGGCTGCTGTGGAGTACACATGGGAAATGTGTCCTCTGGGATGCACTAAGTCTGGGTATACCTGCAGTTTTCCCTGGGGAAATCAGTTGTGGTGGGGAGGTCCCAAAGATTGAGGAAGACTGTAGTAAGGAGCATGAGCAAGTGGTTCTTTTGTCCCAAAAGCTGTTGTCTATGGCAGTACAGACACAATTGCTGTTTACAACATGGAGTAAGCAGAGCACGGGTGCGAAGCATGTACTTACCATGCTCAGCTTGATCATGCTATATTTGGACCAAGCACAGTGATACCCAAACCCATCCCTCTAGTTCCCCTTGTCCCAGCAGGTGCTGGTCAAGCTGGCAGCCCCTGGCTCAGCAGAGGGCTTGGGGATGTGCCAAGTGAAGGACTCCACTGAGCTCTGGCCTTTGGCTCAGGCCAAGCCCATGGTACTTGGGAGATAAGTCTACTGGCGATCCTTAAAGACAGTCCTTTCTCTATTATTGCATGCTATAAACAGAAAGTGCACTGTTGGCTCCAAAAGCATGTTAATAAATAACTCTTTTTTTTTTTTTAACAGTTGGATTTTATTAGGGATGAAAGCACAGGTAAAAACATTTGTTGCATTCAATAGCCCCCAAATCACTTCCATATAGATATATAGCATCAGGAAAATATACCCCTTTACTATAAAAAATATCCTCCTAACAGCTACCATTCATTAAAGAGATCTCTCTTCCCTTAAAAAATGAGTTTAGGTCTGTGTACATTAGTATCACACGTACATACACTGACACATGCACATTTCCATGATGAAACTGTTCAAAAGGTTTCTTATCCTTAAATTCTTCTCCATCCCCTTTTCTAAGCACAGAGCACTCTTTTCGTTTCTACTTTCCCCTTCCTTTCCCTTGATTCCATTCCATGTTTATCACTGACGTACTGCTTTTGTTTTTAGAGTCTGGTTTAGAATATTTAATGCTTAACAAGAGGCATGTCAGTAATTCAGTGCAGCTGTCGTCTCTTCATATGGGTAACAGCAATCCCTCAGTGCTTGCTAGCCCTGCAGAAGACATATACAGACATTTCTCCTTCCCAGAGCCTTTTAGACAAAGACAGAGCCATCCTGGTCACTGGTGTTCAGGGTTATGTTGCTGTTCGCAACACTTTCTGCATAACTAACTGAATGGGTGACCTGGTAGTGACTGCAGGGGCCACAGAAACACAGGAATGGACAGTACTTCAAGCAGACTTGATAAAGGTATTTCCTGAATTTTTCCCCAGCAAAGGCATAGATAAGAGGATTGAGACAACAGTGACTGAATGCAATGGTTTCGGTCAGGTGCATTGCGTAATCCAACGATTTAATTTGGTTGCAACTTGAGAATAACTCATACTGCTTTAAAGTCTCTAGAAAAATCAGTATATTGTAGGGAGACCAAAACAGAAAAAACACGACCACCACAACCAAGATCAGTTTTATGGCTCGTGCTTTTTTCTGATTTTTGCAGGACATCAGGGTTTTGATGATCCCACAATAGCAATAGCATATGATACAGACTGGGATGAAAAAGCCAATGGTGTTCAGCTCCATATTGCAGAACACTGGCCAGATGTTCTCCAGCTTCTGTGGGAAGACAGCAATGCAGTCATTTTCTACCAGCTGGGAGAACACAAAATGTGGCACTGACACTAAAACTGCTATTGCCCATACTCCAAAGGTTACAAGAAAGCCCTGTCTCACTGTTCTGGATTTCAGAGAATATGTTGCTCGAACAATGGCCAAGTACCTGTCGACACTGATAACAGTGATAAAGAACATGCCCCCAAAGAAACCAATGTAATACAGCGAGGAAACAGCTGTACATGAAATAGTCCCAAGGGTCCATCCACGCACTGTGTTGGAAGCCCAGAACGGAAGAGAGATCACAAAGAGAAGGTCTGAGATAGCCAAGTTCAGGAGATAGATGTCAGTGATGCTTTTTTTACTGCCTTTCACAATGGCAAAAAACACCATTAGATTCCCTGTGAGGCCAAGAGCAAACACCACAATGTAAAATATTGGCAGAAATATTTTCCCAAATTCTTGGATGTCAGCCTTATTGCAGGACAAAGCATGTTCATCGTACGTATATTCAGCTGTCGTTTCTGCATATGCGGCCGTCATGCTGAATTTGCTGGCTAGAGGCAAAATTGGAAGAATAAAGAAAATAATGTTAGAGGAAGTTATCCAGTATCTGCTGTGGTAAAATATTGAGAGACTGTACCAACAAGCACACTTTGGGATTTTGTCACTGTTTGGCTTAGTGATAGTTGTGTTACTGTGGAGGTGATGGTAGTTACTAACCAAAGCCCAGACTCTGCCGTTACATGTACTTCACTGAAAATTAACTCTTTAGGATAAGAAAAACTAAATGAGAATTTCAAGGACTGTCGCATAAGCCCCTACTTATTGGAAGTGCAGCAGGGGCGGCAGCAAACCAAGATCTGACTAAGTGATGTGGTGCATTGCAGCACTGTGAGAAATGCAGGCCCTCTGCCAGTCTGTTGGACAGTGCTTGGCAGGAAATGGTACAATAGCTGCTGATCAGTATGCAGTGCCTGTCAACACCACCAGCAGCCCAGTCTCACCCCACATGTTAACCCTGGGGTGGAAGTGTGGTAATACACCCAGTTTAGCCAGGCCTTAACTGATGCTTTCTGATGTGGGAGGAGCAAAGTCTGCAATGGGACATGGCTTGGCAGCAATCATATCTTTGATGAAGCTCTTTTAAAAATCATCATATAATCAAAAGAAGAGAAACTATGTAGACCCTTTTCCTCAAGCAACAAATCATCTCATGACTGCTCCTGCTTTGGCTGCGAGGTTGGAGCCAGGGCTTGTTAGCTTGGCTGAACCCAAAGAGAGTATGGGGTGCAGGTGCGCAACCTCTGGGCGCACTGATCTGCACATCCAAAAACTCAGAGCACAAGTCAATTCCTCTGCAGTCCCTTGGGATGTGGTGTTCAAGTCTCCTCAAAGATTTCTGTTTGCAGGAAACCAAAAATCCTAGAGGGGTCCAGATGTTACTGTATTCAGTTTGCTCCCTCATTGGCGTAAAGAGCTTGTAAGTATTCACTACTTGCTCTCACTGTAGGAAATGAAGGAAATGAAGGGGTGCTATACACATGACAACATGGCCAAAACAGACTATTAAAGCTGAGACAGAAAGGAAAGGCCAGTGATAACAAAACTTCAACTAATAACTATCCCTTGGTCACCGTGTTGCCAGCTTCTTACAGGAACCCCCGCTGACTGTAAAGAAGGGACCGTAGGCTGTCTCTATTATAGATGTTTACATCTCCTGTTAGTGGGACATGTAGTCAATACAGCCAATAAAGAGCAGTGTATCTGATCTAATGCAGCCAAATCTGCTTTAAGACAAGACAGACTGTTTTCCAGACTCTGCTGATTGCATTGGTGAAAGTTCTTTTCCCAACAGAGCATGGCTGTATTATTCAGCAGTAGACAGTGACGGTGTATAACTACTCCAACTCCTGATGCTTAGAGCTAATTAATAATTAGCAGGTTAGAATCCCAGCCTACATGAACATGTTTCACTGATAACAATAGCTTTTATACCCTCTGTTTAAAATAAGCCTTGCAAAACCAAGCACAAAATAAAGATGTCCTGGAGTGTGAGATAGTCCTTTGCCCAAGAAGTTTCCTATGACCTGGTGGCAACTGCAACAATCTTCCCCACGAGTGGCTACTGTGACCATATCAACATCTCCCAATGCCTCATTGCCAGACTGCCGTTTGTGGTATTGGCCATAAAGTTTTGGCCTCTTATTTTGTAGTAATATTTCAAAGAGGTTTTTTGGGTGCTAGTTGAAAATGCAGGCTCTCTGTTTTAAATTATCTTCTTATTCTGAAAGTTCAAAGCCTAATCATCTCTGAAACATTTAAATGAGAAGTGCCCATAGTCACTTAAAAACAATCTTTGTGGTTTTGCACAGGAAAAGTGGGCTAGAAGAAGGGCTGTCTCAGCACTGGTAGCTTTGGGGCATGGGCACAGCATGGGGAAAGCTGTTTGCAGCAGGCAGGCACACCCATGGGCTGTGCAGCTCCTTCAGTGTCTTTCACCTTGAACTGGAAGCTGAGTCTATCCAGCCCCTGCTTGCAGCCCAGTTCAGTTCTTCAGCTTTCGGAGGTGAGGTATCTGACACCAGCAGAATTAAAGGGATACAAATAAGAAATCTTTAGGTGCTGGGGTAGAAGCTGACAGCAATTGCAAAGAAGATACTTATTTTCTAGTGGTGAGAAACCTAATTAGAGTTGCCTACAAAGATACTGTCATCTCTTTATCTGCCCTGTTGAGGGATACAGATAGGGGCAGGAGACTTCATATGTAATCTCAATAACCCATCATTTTCTGCCTTTCCATCCTAATTTCTTTCTTCTTTTCTGAGACTAAATATATGCAGCAGGTGCCTTTAACATACAAGTAAGTGCCAGGGTACACCAAGTCTCTTGTGCCAAATATGAGTCACTGTGTCAGCCCACCCAGCTCCTTTGCACCCATCTGCACAAGCACCAGAACCTCTATCTTACTCTGTGAGCTGCTGTGCTCCACAGCTGGAGCATTTGTTCTGTGAAAAGACACTGAGAACTGGGTTTGATCAGTCTCAAGAAGAGACGTCTCAAGTGGGATCTAGCGAGAAGGTGTAAAAGTGAAGCAGACAATTTTCCTCAGGGCAATAAGAAGCAATAGCCATGGGAAATTGTTACTCAATGTATGGAAAAAGTTTTTGGCCGTGACAGTAGTCCAACACCTAGATTCCAGGGCTCCAGGGAGGTTGTGGGATATAATCGCTGGAGATACTTGAAACTCAGCTGGCCCTGCTCTGAGCGTGGGTTTGGACAAGAAACCTCCAGAAGTCCTGTCCTAACCTCATGATTCTGCAAAAAAGGCAGACAGAGGTCATGACATTTCTGTAAAGTTTTCCAGCTTCTTCTCTGCTGTGTAAGCTTCTGTTTCAGACATGACTTTCCTGGTGCCACAGCGAAAGTCTCATCACGCACAGAGTTAAAAACTGATCGATACGTGCTCGTATCCCATTAGCATCTCTGCTAACTGTGCCGGCATCCAGAGAGGGGGCTGCTCAGTGGGGCTTACCTAGACTGTGCTGTGTGAAATCCCTGATCTGGGAGAGAGGGAGTGCATGCTGGTTTACTCTCTGCTCTGAGAACCTCTAGCTGTGCTGGCTTTTCACATGCTTGCTCTCTTAATTCATATCTAGAAAAGCAGCTTGTTGCTCTGGAGATTTTCCATATGTGTTCATACAAGCTGCTGTGCTCTGTCGGAGGATTTCACACATGTAAGGAAATGCAGCTCCACAGGTTAGCCCTCGGGTCTAGCAGACTTCTGCACAGGCTGAGCCCACTGGCATTGCCTGGAGAGAAAGCTGGGTTCAGGAATGGCCACCTTCTTCACTGGAGAACATTTACACAGAGGCGCAGGATAAACTCCTGGCCAGTTTTCTCTCTCATGCTTACAATAAATGTTCACCTCAGGGACAAAGTGAATTGAAGAGCGTAGAGGACACAGGAGGACCACAGGGCTGTGAGGCTCCTCCACCAGACTTTTTCCCTTGCTGAGTACAGGAAATAGTAGATTCACTTCTGCTTCTCATGGAACTGCTCAACCACTTTTGCTCTGTCTCCAGATTTCCCCAGAGGCTTTGCACCCTACTCTACACAAACACTTCTGCTCTTAATCATGTTTATAGCTATCTCAAAGACCATAGTCTGCTAGACCAATACCCTGTTTCTCAACCCAGCTATTCCCAACGACCATATGTGCCCTAAGTAATACACAGGGAAGTGAAATTGTGAGAGATCCACAAACTTCTCTAAGGAACAGAAGTTGCCTTTCAGCCTTCAAACAACACTGGCATCAGGCTGGAGGACACAAGATCTAAATCCTGCTTATACATCTGGTCTTTCCAGTTGTCACCCCTAGCACTTCAACCAAGTGCCAAGAAGAGGGGGTCTATAAGCACTTGCCTCTCTGTTATGCCTTTCCAGTCATCCAGTTAAAAGAAGTTAAAAAAAATAACCAAATCCAGACCTCTGACAGAGAGCCACACTTCAGATTTGCACAATATGCTAATAAAAGTATTTAAACCTCAGAAAGATTTTCGCACCTTAGTCAGCATTTCTGAGTGAGGCTCACTTACATGCTTTTCTTACACAGGCAAAGCATATTTTCAGTGCACACTGAACGGGCTGATGATTCAGCTGGCCCTGGGAAATTGTAGGCTTTGTGGGAACCCCTGTGAAAGGGTGCATATTCCTTTCTCACCCTTAGATCTGAGTTGCCATCCCCCTACCCAAATATAAATGCCATTGCTTTTTTTGCATTTGTGACTACACCCATCTGCTTCTTGCCAGCTGGTGATTCTCGGCAAGACCACAGGGATGACCTCAGGTACCTTCAAATGAAATCTTGTAGCTATGGTGGCACTTCTAACACATAACAGAAAGAGATTTAAGGGAAGTACCCAAAACTGGGTGGAAACTGTCGGGAGAGATGCAAGTCTTAATAGCACTCTAGGTGAAACTCTTAACCAGCCCGGTGCCAAGCAGCTACCACCCAATCACCAGACTGCCACGGACACCTCTAAGCATGGTTTAGATGATACACAAACCAAAACTTAGACTTATGGGCAAAACATTAGCCAGAGATGGGGCCCAGTTTCTATTTCTACACCCAACTGGTTCCAATAATTCACTTAGTTTATTATTCAGAGAAAGGTCACTCCGTTCACAGGGGATGGTTTCTGGAGTTGCTTGGGATCATGTTAGATAGCCAGGGTCAAAATCAAGCCCAGCCCAGCATTTGCAGTTACTTTCACTCTTCAGTCTTTTATTCAGTCCTGAAGTGGGGAGATGTTCTCCCTGTTCCACCTCTTCAGGTGCTGGAAGCAGCTGACACAATGCTGACCTCAAAAAGCAGAAAGCAAGGTGAAACAGCTAGTGTAACCTAATCTTTAACCTGGCAAAATGAAATTTAAACAGTTAAGAGGGAGAGTGTAGCTAAGGCCAGTCTGTGTGGCTTTTTAGAAGAGGAGCTTTTGGATATCTGATGACACTGCAAGGTTGATAAGGTGACCTCTGCTGCATGCTTATTTGGTTGACACATATCTCCAGCTCAAAGCAACACAAGTCCAAGAAAGCATTGCAATGGGATTTGGACTGGTTAGCCATCAGATCTCAAAAGACAGACATCCGTGGAGGAAGCCTCACTGAACTAGGAATATTGTTTGTAAAATGTTTGTGGAAATAGCAAGTTGAAAGCCAAAAACTGTTCAGTATTTTCATCATTGGTTTGATAGTAGATCGGGAATCAGAGTTAGAGAATTGGACAGTGATTCAGACAGTCTGAGTAATCTGGGGCTCCTCAGATGATTCACTTTATCTCTAATCTAGCCAAAGTGACGTGCTTGGGAGTTAAACAACGTGGGCCATGTCTCAAGAGTGGGGGCAGTTCTCAAGGAAACTTGACTGCAGGAAAAGCTGATGCAACCCTCAGGTGTTTAAAGAGCCACTAAATGGGAAGGAACAAAAGAGGGTAGGCTGCCATTGCAGACCTCGATACTGGGGGTGGAGGCGTAATTTGTTAACACTTGATTTCACCTTTGCTTGTGTTAATTATCTTGTTAATTTTTCTAACGGGATTAGCCATACCTTAAAGTGATACATGGAACTTCAAACCAGAAACATGAAAGATAGGAATAAGATACACATTTTTAACATGGAAAGGCTAACGACTGAAGAGCCTTCAGGTAGGAGAAGGACTTGCGTATCTGAGGGTCTCCATGTCAAGAGAAGATATTGGTCTGGGAACGATGTTTAGGCCAGACATAGTGGAGCTCAGCAGGAGGGTACTGGGTAAAACCCTACAGTCCCTGATAGGCAGGGAGGCAGACCATATTGGGGCACACTTCTCTTAACAGCTGTGACTCTTTTGGTAATAAATGACTGAAAAAGCCAAACTATCCTCTCCCCAGGTACTTCAACTGCATTAGCTAGCCCAAATCCTGGGATGGGACCCCCGGAAAGGAAGTGGGCTCCTGTGAAGAGCACGGAACAGCTGCTGGGGTTGGCTTAGCGCTGAAGCTTTATGATGGCTGTGGAAAGAAAGCAGCACAGTTTGGGGATGTTGTTATCAAACAGCCAGTGTGTACTGCAGCTGTTAAATCCTGGGTGTTTTCCCTCCTAACCAGTTCTTTTATCATTCCTCAAAAACTTGGGAGTGAATGTGGTGTAATTCCAGATGTGTCCTTGCTCCCTGCCCCCCCCTCCCCCAGTTCTTCCCTGATGACTTTAAGGTAAGGAAATTCCTTTCTTTGGTGTTTCTTCTTTCTTCTGCGACTTATTCCCAGATCAGCTGGACAATTTCTGTGGCCCATCAGAGTTCTGCAAACCTAATAATTGCTTATCGATTTAGGTGATTTAATTTATAGAAGCTCCTCCCAAGACTTCAAGGATGAGTTATTTAGAAGCAAGTAGTGATCTGGGCTGCTTTGTTACTGGATTTTCCAATTTAAGGTGAAGTTGAAGGTGCAGAAACATGATGCAGAAGCTTTCAAAAAAATAGGGCATTTAAGGTGTCTTAAGTAAATGACCCAGAAATGGAAGCTGATTAGACTACTGCTGATTAAGATAAATATAAGGCTGAATATTGGTCCTTTATAAATGCATTTAGGTCAAAGAGATTTAAAAAATGCCATCTCTGCCAGTGGCAAGGTCTTCACCATCTATCTTTCAGAGCAACCACAGAGGTACTATTTTGAATGAGATTTTGCTCTTGCTCCATCAGTTCATGGTCCAACTGGCCTGGCCAGTGGCCTCACTCAGGCTGGTTGTGCTTCCACCAGAGCAAAGCAGGCACAGGGGACTGAACCCAGGTGCCCTGGGTGCATCCTGACCCCAGCAATGTCCCTCTACTTTTTGTTTTTGTCGTCCTGCCAGGAAGACTTGCTGGGGCATCCTGAGCCATCCAGGAGGTACAGCTACACCACAGCAGTGCTGGGGCCATGCCAAACCCTGCCAAACCCCTGGCAGCTCACCCCTGTGGTTACTGGTGTATTTATAGCAAAAACCGAAGCTTTCAGTGGTTTCAGCTCCTTCCCTTGGCTCTGGGGAGAACAAAGCCCCTCTGAGGCTGACAGGGTGGACGTGCAGGTGCACCTTGGTGCCTGCACACTTAATGGAGCAGGGAATATAGATTCAAGTTTTGGGGCATGATCAAGTCCCTTGAGCAAGTGAAGCTGCACAGAGTCACGTCAAGGCATTTTCCTGGTGTGCCATCGTTGATTCAAATCATTCTTCTGAATGGGAACTAAGCACTGGGGAGCTTCTGAAAAATCCCATAAGATGCTTGGTCAAAGCACCTTTAGAAATCTGGCCCTAAGGAAGTTAGAGCCTTAAATATCTGTTTCAGAAATTACTTATGCATTTAGGAAAGATGACCTGGCAGTATGATTCAGACTCCTGCATCTCCCCTGGATCTTAAAACTGAGGTTCTAAAATCACTGAAATGGTTCTGAAATTTTCATCTGTGACTCTCAGGGTCATGATTTTGCGGTCTTGATTTTATGACCAGAACCAAGGGTCCTCTTCAAAGCCTCTGCAGTCTGAGATGATTTCCAGGCAGTGTCCTGTTCCCAGGGACGCGCCGGGGAATGGGAAATTAGGTAAATGGTGTGAGAATTGTTGTAGAGCAGTATTTATTTTTGCCCTGGGGGGCACTTTAACTGAGCTGCTGGGAATATAGTGGCAGAGCTGAGGAGGGACTAGCTGCCCTCCCAAGAGATGCCTATGGGGAACTGGATGTTTGGGGTTGTCATCTGATTGGATGGTGACTGCCAGGATCAGGATTTTCTTGGAAAATTTATTTTACAGGTATTTCATCTAGCCTGTTAATTCCCCTAATTGTCCTTTCTGCTTGCACAGTTGCTCACGACACTCTGTATCTTTTTTTATATGTATAGCTGAGCATTTTGGCAGTGTTTTCTCTTACCTTCTCTTCCTCAGTATTTTTTTATCCCAGGCCTTCCCTTCTTAAGCAGCATTCAAATTTCTTTTGTATTTTCTGTAAAAATTTGCAAAAACAGATTTTTTTTTTTAGCTATGAGCACTGTTTGTACTTGTTTTTGGTTACCATTTGCTCCATCCTCTCGCTGCCTTTATTGTGATGCCTATTTACTTCCTGCTCCCCACCCCCCTTTTTGTGATTAATAACATCACATTGCTTTAGCATCCTTGAGAAATCTGAGACGGCTCTCTAGAAATGGGACATCTCTTAAATCATCTTCTCCATTATTTAGAGAGCAGCACACATTACCCCTTCTTGACTGTGTATGGATGAGATTTAAGTTCTGGAGCTGCCAGCTCCTTCTGGGGAAGATCACATTTACTATGGATTTACTCTCAATTTATTATGTGTTGCCCTTTGTCAAACTTTAGCCTTTTCTTCTCCCTTTTGCACTTCTTCTGTGCTTCCCAATCCCTTGTAATTCATTGCAGTTGCTGTCTTTCATCCTGTCACTCTGTTCGCTGCCTCCAAACAGGGTTTGCCCCAACAGACCAGATTTTGGGAATGACTGTTCTGGATCTACATTTATATCACACAAGTAGTTAACAGGTTGCCGCCACTGTATTACCCAAATGTCTCACCCAAACCAGCAGACATCTTTGTGCAACATCCTTCCTGTGGAAAGCTGAGTCACAAAGAAAATAAGTAATGTGTCATTCAGAAAGGTGGGTTTTTAAATTTTTTGCATTTCTATTGCTTTCTTGCTGGTATGTCTACATCAGACACTTTCTCTTGACTACCAGATTTTCTGCTTTGGACTGTCTTTCAGTTCAGTGTTGTTTGAGATGTTGGTTCCCTGACCAAAACTAGAAACAAGCATTGCTGGGGAGTTGTGAAATCCCTGCAGACATCTAACAAAAAACATCTAATGAAGTAGAAGGGCTGTGTCTTCTTGGTCTGTTCTTCTGGACTAGTGTTGCACACTAGTCATCTATCAGCATTTTGTTAACCTTGAGGTGAATATTTCTCTTACACAAGATGCCACAAATAATTAGTTGACCAAGTAAAATTCCTCCGCCCTGGTTCACTTTGGTTAATAAAAGTGTTCCCCTCTCTATTTTCTCAATTTGTAAACATTCCCCACATGATCTTCACCCAAATTAAATATAATTTAGATTCCAAGCACTAAGCAGTGAAGACTTTCCTTTAAGTTCACAAAACACCATTTTGTCTTAATCCTGCTTTGTCAAATTATAGGTAAAATATAATTGTCTCTTACCTTAATTCATAGTTGCATTGAAAATCAATGTTTCCTTCAAGCTGAGCTGTTTGGGTTTAAATGTATATTTCCTCTTCTCTAATGCTGGTGCCTACCCTATGAAACATGTGAACTTTGGCAGGGCAGCTTCCTGGGCTGTGCTAAAGTTGAGCTGATAAAGTATTAATGTGCTCTGCTTTGGTCCTGCTGGCTCTGTGTGAAATTGCAAAGTAGGATGCGGTCACTCGGAGGGGCAGAAATGCTTACAGAGGACAGGACTTGCACAGAAGACAGAAATGCCCAAGGTGCTTCATACTCAGTGTGTCAAAGCTGTCACCCCCCTTGGTTCCCCCTATCCTATGCAGAAAGATGTTTTTGACTCAGACACAATTGTACAGTGTATAGAAATACAAGTTTGCAACAATAGCAGGGGCCTTGAGCAGTGGCGACGCAGGATGCAGCACAGAGGAGTGCAGGTATGGGATGGTAAAAGACGGAGCACAGGATGGCACTGGGGAGCCCCACAGATATACACCACTCACTGATGGTCAGTTAAAAAAATGCAGACCTGGAGCTGGCAAAACTGGGTTTAGTGGTAACAGGCAGAACAAAAATAGTATCTAGCATACATAATGGGTATCACATTATGTGTGTATAGACCAGCAAAGACAGAGGAAAGTATAGAAAAATGTTAGAAAACATAAAAACAATGCAAACCAGATCTAGAAAGAAGCAGAAGAAAAATTAGGATGAACATTGCTTTTATCCCAGGGAAGGACTGGAAATGCTGACAGCTCGCTCTAGCACTGCCAGTGAAACCACCAGCCTTAGGACTCAAAGAAGCAGGGGAAGAGAAAGTGGATAGAAACTATGTGTGTGCAAAAAAGTTTAAACTGCAATAGTGTACTTGTTCCTCTGCAACAAGCAGATCTAAACTGATAACAGTTGGAGCCTTCAGATTGCCATTAAACTAACAAAAAATTCTTAGCTTTATGTATACATATATTGTGTCTCCTCTTTGCCTGTAGACAAGATTTTAAACATAAAATTTCTCTGCAGCCCAGGACCAGCAGAGTCTGAGGGTCTAAAGCATTGGGATGTCCATTAATTAAAGAGTCTTCTGGAGCATCATGCTCAGGGTTGCATTACAAGTGCACCACAATTGGAATGCTGCATAGCATATTGCAAGGCACCACTGGGGCACAAAAAGCTGTTCATCTGGGGTGAAACCAGGCAGGAGGCTGTGCATCAGTGTGCATTATGAGAAACAGAGACACAGTGTCTGTTTGGGGGGTGCACCAATACCAAAGTCCTCAAGCACACACAGGAATACAGTCCTGGAAACAACCCCAGGTACTGCCCCTGCCTCAAATGTCAAGGGAGGTTAAAATGCCTTCTCCCCAAAGGCAGAGTTGTGCTGCCTTCAGGCAGGCTGAGCTGGGTTGGATTTTGGGGGTGGAAAGCATCTTCCAGGTTGTCTGAGCTGTTGCTCATTGATTGGTGTAGCAAGTTGCCAGGCAAATACTTTTGTATGAGTTTAGTTCTGGTATTTTTGCCAATTACATGGCTTTTTTCATTGTGTTATGCTTTATCTTGCAAAGGTTACATCCCCAACAGCTACATAGCAATGGCCAAAGTGTGAGCCTACAACATCCATCAAATTATGCAAGTGACGTGAGCCAGGTGCACCAGGACAAGCGCCCATGGAAATAATCAGGGAGCAGATTCCCGGATAGGTGTTGGCCAGAAAAAGCAAAGACACACTGCTGAAAATAAAGTTTAAAAGTTAGGGAATTCTAAAAGCCAGAGCAGCAGATTTGCAAAACTCACTTTTTCCTCTGACAAGTGCCAGCAGCTCCATTACCCATTCTTTAAAAATAAACATAAAGAACTCTGCACTCTTTTCAGAACATCAAAAAGCTAATGGCTGGTTACTCCCCACACACTGAAAGTAGGATCTATGACTGCCAAAATTACAAGCTTTCGACTTTCAGAAAGATAATTTCTGGTAGATGGTACTAAGGAAATGCTCTCATTGTGTGAGAACCCTAAGATTCAGAAAGATGAACGAAGGCTTCCCTTACGCCAGTGATAGTCTGATATGATCCCTGCCCCCCTTTCAGGGGGCCCCGCAGAAGATGTTCTGTGGTTTAGAGGACACCAAAATCTAAACCTGTCTCCCATGTCCTCGTGGGGATGGTGAAAGGCTGTGTCTCCCCCAGCCCCCACTTCCCTCAGCCCTATAAAGAAAATGTACAGATAGTCCAATAGGAGCTTTCCCACTGGGGACCTGCACATGCCAAGCTGGTTTGCTGCTGACCTGTAAAATGTGGATTGCCAGAACCCTGGCAGACACTCATCCTAGTGGGCACCCGCTCCTGGGTTGCCAACTCAGCACAGTACCTCTGGTGTTGTTCTTTGCAGGCAAAACCCTTGTGAATAAGGGTCAGGACCTCCCATATGTAACAGCAGGAGAGGCTGTCCCCAGCCACTGCTAACAATCTCCTAAGAACAGGATTTCCCTGAAGGCAGTCACCAACCCCTTTCCTCCTGTGCTGCCCAGTTTAACTGGAACTGAACACAGAGCAGGCTGTTACCTCAAGAAGAAATGAGGTTTGCCCAAAGGAATATCCAAACAGTCTTTATCTGGAGGACTTCAATGAAAGAGAAACCAAGTCAGGCTGACTCAAGACATCCTCAGCAGGTCTTCTCAGGAGACAGAAAAGGCTTACTGTTGTATTCTGTTGTGAGTGATAAACCTAGATAAGAGTGCTACTCATTATCAGGGCATGCACTTGTAGTGCAACAAAGACAGGTATAAAATCAACACCACCTGAAACACAACTGCCACATCAACAAATGCTCTCCATCTTCAACCTCTGTTCACCCTCACAGCTCAGGAATAAGAAAGTCTGAGGAAGCTGCTGAAAAGACTCATTCTGGTCTGTACATGATGGAGAAAAGTATCTTTTGTTTCTTCAAACTGAAAAGAAAAAGACATTGCATCCCTTGTAACCAGAGAGACTTTTCCTAGAAAGAGCTAGGTAGAGTGTGCTGTCTTCCCAACTGTGAAGCATGCAATAGTTTTAGAGAAAGAAATCAAGAGTGGATGTGAAGAAATCAAAGGATGTGCTGCGCAGGGACACAGTGGGTAAAGAGGGGTAACCCACCTTTTTATGCCATCTCCCTCTGAGGTGCCTTCTGAATTTGAAAACTCATTTCTCTCAACATCTGGGGAGACCAGTGGTACTTCCACACGAGTGGTGTCTCCTCCTGCTCTATGGCCAGGCTGCCAGGTCAGCTTGGGGAGGCAGGGTTTTACACAGCAGCACTGGTAAATTCAAGCTTTGTGGACTAAAGCACTTAGCAAAGAAATGTCTGGCCTGAAGGATCAAAATGCTGCTCTCCCTAGCTCACTCTGCTTTCACTGCCATGTGGGAAAGCCTGATGGTGGTGGTGTTCTACAAAAAGGGGCTATCTTGGCTCTCAAGAATTTAATTGGAGTCCCTCTGCAGGGCTGATGGGCATCAGTACTGGCCTGGGAGTAACTGCTCCATCTTTCCAGGATGGAGCCCCGAGTCCCACGGGAGCTCTGTGATGCAGAGCTGCCCCGCCCCGCATGGCTCAGCAACACAACATGTACCATAGCTGTGACTGCACTGAACCCTGCTGGACACTTTTCATTTCTCCAAAACTCTTGTGGAGGTGCATCCCTTCCACAGCAGCGTCCTGTTCCTCCCATGCTGTCTCGCAGCAGAGCCCAGCTGGCAGCTTTTGATGTAGCTGTGGGCACCAGCTGCTCACACACACACACAGCCCTTCACAGAAAGCATTTCTGTGCCTCGCTTCTGAGAGAAAACCCAGCAGAGAGAGCCTCATCTCTTCATGCCACTGTTCTGGAGAGATGCAAGGAGATAATGGAGCTCTGGCACCTTTCCAGGCACCAGTGGGAGATGCATTTATTCTTCACCGAAAACATGGGGAGGAAAAAATTACTCAGAGAGAGGAAAAGAGAAGATATGTCTAGGGATGAAAGTGTTTCAGCCTGAGGGCTGCTGAAGATAAGATCCATAGAAAGATGAAGGTTTGCACACCTTCTACAAACAGTAGGGGTGTGGCCCAGAAAGACATTGAAAGTTAAGAGAAACCTTTATTCCTGCATTAGAAATGACGTGGAAGGGATAAGGACACTGGAACAGTTTAGTGCTTAGGCTCACTCGTGCCTTGGTGACCACATCTGTATTCCTGAGCCATTTGTTTGCCTTCCCTCACTCCAGCTGTCACAGAGAGGTGGTGCTCTCCTGCCCTGGAGAGGTGACAGAGGCCTAGCCAGGTCTCCTGGGGAGGTGTCCTCCTCCCTTGGGATGGGTGATGGGCACAGCAGCTGCTCAGATCCACCTGTTTCAGTGTGTACCTGAGTTACACCAATCTCTCAGAGCACATTGCAGAGGCTGCGCTGCTTTCGAGGTTGGCTCCAACAAAAACAAGGAGATCCAAGAAAGAGGGGAGGAAGCCATTGGTGGGGCAATCACATTCATTTCCTCCTGGGCTCACCCAGGCAAGAGGAATGGCTGCTGTTCAAAATGATGAATAAAGAAATGCCTTTTCTCCCTCCTTCCCTGCTTTCCGTCCTCTCTCTCTCGCTCGCTGCTTATGAGAGCTGAAGCTCTTGGGTACATTTGCACCATCACCACCCCTCTCTCTCTAGACACATTGGGGCAGTGTGGTGTTGGGGATGCCAAGATGTGTGAGGATGGTGCAAGAGGCGTGCAGGTACAGAGACACAGAAGCAGACATGGTGAGTGAGGGGAGTGGAAATGTTGCCTGCCTTTCGGTGAGCATGGACAAAAGACTGAAGGAAACCACCCAGCATTGCTCTTTGCTCTCAGCCCAGTTGAATACCTGAGCATTAGGGAACAAAAACCATTTCCTTCACTCCTTGTTGTGTAGGAGAGGCATTGCCTTCTGACAGCTGGTTTCCAAACATTTCTTGACACATAGGTCTCTTTACCTTGCTGGGTGCTGCAGTCAAGGCTGGTGCTGAGTTGAACACAAGAGACAATCAATACTTTCGCAGTGCCCTGGTGGTCTGTGTTCAGTCATGGCTGTGTCCTTCCTTTCTGTCCATCACTGTACTCATCCTCACATGCTGCATGTGCATTCACACCTTCTCTAAACTCAAGCATGTGGAGGATTACAGAGACTGAATATTCTCCAAGGGTGCCAAGTGAATTAAGGGATAATTGTCTTGCTGATCCAGAGGTGCATGCACATGTTGCACACTCATTAATATTACTGGGAAGGCTGCCTGGATACTGGAGTCTGGCAAGGAAAAATGGTGTTTTCTGGAGTAACACAGCAAACATTGCTGTTTGCTTGGTGGTAGGCTCCTCTTGCATATAGCTCATCCTACATGGTAAGCGTGACCCAGCTGCTCACCTGGCATTGAACTGGCTGCACTGGCTTCTGGAAAGCACAGCAGACCCACACAGACAGTCCTGGCAGCCACGAGACAAGCACAGCATTGGATCAGACGAGGTCCCAGCAGACACACTCGTCAGCAGTGGCTGAGGAAACCCAAATCACGTTACTGCTCTTCTGAGGTGGGGATTTCTGTGACAGGTCTCTGTACATTTTGGTGTGTCAGCCGAGGCAGCAGAAACACGGATTTATCTAGAAGTGCACAGACATGCAGGAGCGCACTGCTCAGAGCCTGTGTGTCAAAACTGACGTATGACAGCTGCAGCTTTGCTTTGCCCAGCACTACTTGCTGCCTTTAAGGGACATTAACCTTTAAGGTACATTAACCAGAAATGCATGTCAGCCCACACATTACAGTTAAATGACATATTCAGACTAAGGCTATAATTACCTTTCAATTTCCCAAACTATTTTTACATCCAGAGAGAATACCTAAAGTCATCTTTATTTTTTTTCTGTCATGGTTCTTTCTGGATCCTCTACTGGCACAGTTATTAATTTCTATGGTGCTTCATTACTGGAATACATATATAATATGCATATATATATATATACACACACACATACTGGTGTATAAATAATTGGTGTTTTCAAGAGGCTGAAAATAAAATAGGATTATCCTCGACATGATACAATTAACAGGGCTTTTGGGAGTTTTGTCCATGCTAATGCTGGCCCATCAAGGCACGGGGATATCTTTCAGCTAAGAGAAGCATGAGACACAGATACCCTTCATTAACCTTTCTTTTTTCCTTTGTTAAAATTTTGACTGGTTCTGACCTGCAGGTGTAGCTGGATGGTACCACAGCAGAAAGAGGCAGAGTTGTGCTGCTGGCTGGGAGGACTCCTCCAGAAAGGATCAAGTCAGAAGCTCCCATCCTCATCCCTAGACTGTGTGCAATGGCCTGAACAAGTGACTTGAAAGCCAGAAGCTCTGCCAAAGATTTAATTAGTGTTGTCTCCATGTTGCCTTAGGAAGGAGGCTTGAGTATAATGCCAGAAAAGGCCAGATATGGACTAGTTTCTTACTCCAGGATGCTGTTTTGGAACAAGATACTAAGACTATCATTCCCTGTGCTAAAAGCGGCAGTCCTGCAGCTCAGAGCTGAGATGGGGAACAATCTGCTAGGCCCCACTTCACACTATTTTCCAAGGGATCTAGCAACACCATAAGCTAACATGTCCTCATACATCCCACTTTTTGCTGGTACAGTTTAACAGCATGGTCCCTAAACATACCCTTTTGTTCTCTACAACTGCAGCACAGGTTTGCTCAGTGTGTTAAGTGACCATCAGACAAGATGAGCCTCCCTGATGCCACTGCAATGCTCCAGCCTGTTAAGGCCTTTCCATCCACACATGCAGAGCATCATGGGTGGCATCAGACAAACATTCCGTCCTTCTAAACAGAGACCGTCTGTAGAAGGGACCCTCTGTGCTAGTAACACCAATAAATCAAAAAAAAATGGTACGTATTTTAGATTTAAGCTCGAATATAGGTAATGGTTATGCTGGTCTCAGTTTTAAGAACAAGACTATATCTGACTATTTAATGTGCCAAAATCATCCTTAATCTTCTTTAACCTGCATCATCTCAGCAAAAAGAAAAAACAAGATCAGGATACGAAAGTAAGTAGGAGATATGAGCAGGACCAATATAACAACTGTGGTGGGTATTTTTTACACAGTAGGTAAAAAGGCACCAGGGCTATGCAGGATGGTCTGGTCTATCCTCAGCTTCTTGTGCTCCCAGCTCTTGGGAAGACCCTAAAATTTCCATTACCCTCAAGCTGCCCATCAGCTTGTACAAATGCAGGAAGATGTCTTCTACTCTCTATGCCCTCACAGGCACTGGCAGGGCAGCAGACTGCTCTCAGGTTTGTCCCTTCAGAAAGAAGACGAGCTCTGTAATCTGCAGGGATGTTCCTGCCCACTCACAGCTACACAGGGCAGGTCCTGCCAGCCATGCACCCTCCGGATGTGGGTCTCACCTTCGTCCTTTCACAGGAAGGCAGCGATAGCAGCTTAAAGCAGCTGGGCCAGGAGGAGAAGTTGAGGTCAGGTCCAACTCAGAGCTCCTGGTGTTGCTGCTGCAGTAGAGGAAGGCAGCTGCCTCTGGCAGAAAATCCACTGAGCTGCAGAAAGTTTCTCGCACTTCTGCACTAGGAAGGTTTGCAAGCAGTATTGAGGCAGCAGGAGGAGAGGATGTCCTCCAGTGAGAGCTAGAGAAGTGAAAGACTTTGCAAAGAAGGCTCTGCATGTTTATGCTACCCTCACACCACCAGGTTACAGCCCTTGTGGGGAAGCCCTGGGTCACAGCCTCACTCCAACAGCAATCAATGAAAGCTACACAACAGCAATCAATGAAAGGATTCCTCTGAAAGGAAGGAGATATCCCCTAGCAGAGATGCTCAGTAACACCAGGGAAAGGCCATTGTCTTGCAAGCTTGGGCAAATGGGCTCCAGAACCTGTCCTAAAGTACTCACACAAGAGATGCACGACAAAGCTGTGGGGCTGCAAAAATCATTCCCACCTCTTGTGCTTCAGCTGAGCGAGTTCTGATCTAGAGGGTTCATACTGTGAATCTGCAGAGGAGATACCTGGTGCTGTCCTCTAAGCCTAGGACCCTTTGGCTTTGTCCTGAATTTTTATTACTCACCTTCTAGAACACCTGACTTTGCATACCCAAAAAAAATAGCCTGGCTGCCCGAGGGTGGTAGGGCACTGAGAGGCAGGGACTGTTCTGCTGCACCTGGTTGCAATCCTGCTGCTGGGACTAGGCACCAGCTGAACCTTTTCCTCTGGCTACGGTCTTTGCTTTACAATTTGGGAAACGTGTGTCATGGCCTGCATGAGGCAGATGTATTTCTCACACACCTTTCATTACTGGCCTGCTTGTGCAAAAGATTTCACCTTGCAGATTGCAAATGGGAGCACACATTAAAACTGTAAATGCCATCTGAAGAAGATTGGTGGTTTAAAAGAATTTTATTTTTGTTTTGTTCTGCTTATTCGAGGGAGTAAGCCCAAGGGTACTCAGTAGGTACGGAAACACTACAGAGGCAGACACTTACAGAAATTAAATTTCTAAAATAAAAGATAATCTACTTTCTGCTTCTTCCCAGCTAAGGAGGAATAGGAAGAGAAAGAGTAGAGGGAGAGAAGAGGCAGCCGAAGGGATTGTCAGTTTTATAGAACTGTCCAGGCCATAATAAATGCACAAGCTGAAAGAAATAAAGAAGAAACAGGTTCTTTGGGTGTAAGAATTGTGCAATTACACTGCATGCAGTATCTTTATTAGAAAACTTAAAATATGGTGATATCTTGTAGAGAGAAACAGATCAGAGATAGAAGTTTCAGAAAACCATTGCATTTATCTATCAATATTTCTATATATAAAGATATTTTTCCTGGTAACTATTCCTCCGCCTGTTCCTACAGGTCTCATTCATTCCTGTAAGTGTTGTTTTTTGACACCCACAGCGTTATTTATAGGGTTACAGCTTCCAAACCCTTCCAGCCAAGAAGCTGCAGGCCCTGGTAACAGATGAGGTGTCAAGATCATACTTAGATATTAATTCACATTGATTTCACAAAAACATGTGGACAGCATTTATTTCTTTGTTGCTTATCCAATTACTCAGTAGGCTCTTTTGGGGCTGAAAGCCTCATTCAGACATGTCAACTGGGAGCCAGTCCCTGCCATGACATGTTAAACTTGGATATCATTTCCCTCCAAAGAGCAGGTTCCCACTCCTGCAGTGAGCCCCATCCCTGCTCACAAAGCCAATTCACTCTGCTGAGACCAGGGAAGGAGCAGCCAAGTGTCCAGAGTTTGGAAACATAAACAGTTCCTTTCAGTACTGAATCTGAGAGGTGGAAGATATGTTTCTAAGGCAACTCTCCATGCTGCTCAGGCAATGTGGGAGTCTGCTGGTAATTTCCACCACCCTTTTATGAAGCAGGCAGGGCAGGATGTGCTAGGGGAAAAGGAGGAACATGCTAAAAAAGACTCTAAAAATTAACAACACTAAAAGCAAAATCAAGCAGCTGTTTCCACTTTTTCTGTCATAAAATGTTTCACAAGTAGTCCATCTCTGTGGATTCCCTTCTGGGAGGATTTCCCAGCTTTAGGACACCTGTCCAGGATGATAGTTTTTGACTTGTAGTTCTACAAGACTGTACCAACAGAAGACGACTGTGAGGACCTTGTGTGCAGAGAGGAGTTCTTGTCCAGGCTGCGTCCACTGAAAGCTCTGTAGTCTTTGCAGATCAAGAGAAAACATGGAGATTTTCTGAAAGCTTCACAGAGATGCTTCTTGAACTTCTCACCCACAAAGGCATAGATAACTGGGTTGAGGCAGCAGTGGACAAAGGAGAGAGCCTCAGCCAGCTCCACAGCTAGGTCTAGCCTTTGGCTTGTCTGGCAGTCATCAATGATGTACATGTTCCTTAGAGAGTCCAAAAAAAGCACAATGTTGATGGGAGTCCAGAAGAGGAAGAACACAATTACAACAATAAAAACCAGTTTTATTGCTTTGTACTTGTTCTGGGTATGGCACTTCTGCAGATTTTTCAAGATGCTGTGGTAGCAGAAAATGAGGACACCAACGGGGATCAACCACCCCAGGATGTTGACTTCAAAATTACTGAAAGTCTTCCAGCCATTGTTGCCACCAGGATAGTGAGGGATGCATTTAATCTGGTTATTGTCATTTACTTCCTGGTAAAAAATTAAGTCTGGCATTGACGCTAAAATGGCAATTACCCAAAGGACCAGGCTGGTGATAGCCCCATGGGCAGCTGTTCGAATCTTCAGAGCATAGACAGACTGGACTATGGCCAAGTACCTGTCAATGCTCATGATGGTTATGAAGAAGACGCTGCTGTAGAAACCAATGAAATAGGCTGAGCTGATGATCTTACACATAGCATTTCCAAAAGTCCATTGACTCATAATGGAGTACCGAACCAAGAATGGGAGGGAGAAAACAAAGAGAAGGTCAGAGATGGCGAGGTTCAGCAGATACACGTCAGTCATGGTCTTGATTTTCTTGAAAACTGTTAGAACCCAAATCACCAAAGCATTTCCCGCAAGGCCTACCACAAACAGTAGGGAGTACAGCACTGGAAAAAAGGTAGATGAAAATGCTGGAATATTTTCAGCATTACAGATGATGCCCAGGTCTGGGTAGTAGAAGGCGGATTCATAGGCTGCAGGGGAGTTAGATGTTGGCAATGTGTAATCCACCTGTTCAAGGACAAAGAAGTTCATAAGACCCAAGTCCCATATTACCCTCTTAGTAAATATACTAGGCACGAGTCACCTCATGCTAAACCACATGAGGACAAAACAGCTGTGCCTCAGCTGTGGTACAGGATGCAAACAAGGAATGAACATGAGAGACTGGTTCTCCCCTGCAAGATCTGGGATGAGGTTCTTGCACCAGAGGGGCAGAGGAGATCAGAATGCAGCTGACTCCCCTGACTCCCTGTGGAGGCATGCCCCATTCCTGAGTCGAGGTGGGGCACTGGGGCCAGAGACAGCGAGCATCCCCAAACCAGCAATGAAATAAGCATGGCCAGGGGGCTGAGAGACCCTGATATGGATTTTGGGGTCCTATTTCATGTTTCCTTCTGAAAGGCGAAAGGGAGCAGGGCTCAGAGAGAAATTGACATGTTAACATTCATCTCCTAAAAGCTTCATTTCCAATTAATCGAGTGCCAAAAATAGCCCTCCATGGGACAAGTTACTTTTGCCTAGGATTCCTACACAATTCAAGCAGTTTTCAGCTGTAAAGGCACCAGCACTTACAGGTCACCAGTGAGTGCTGCACATCACACTTTCTCGCCACCCCAGGCGAGATCAACAGTAGCAGCTCTGGCCCATGGGGTGACTTCCCAAAGAGCAGATGGGGCTTTCTGCCTCTTCCTCCCTCCTTCCCAGCTTTGCCTTCTCTGTAACCACCACATGCCTGGGCAGTACCTGTGACAGCAAAGAGCTAAAGAAGATGGATGGCAGCACATATCCCAGTCAGGATATCCTCCATAGGACACTCCTAGCACTACCTCTGCCCTCAAGGACAGCCTTTTCCCACAACACAGTCTCATCAGCCAAAGATACTTTCACTCAGTGTTTTTTTTTAACAACAATGACACTGATTTCTTCTAAATCCTCATCATCTCTTTCAGTACTATATGTTCCTATAGGCAAAACTGGACCTCTAAGATGTGCTACTGGCCTCAGCTTGCAGGGGAGCAACCTGGTGGAGAGTGACTCACCGACATGTCCTCAGAGCCGCCTCTGCCCAGCTGGTATGTCAAGTTCCTCTCCATAATCCAACACTGTGTTTAAAGAGTGCAAAAAAAATGTCTTTATATGACATATTTTTAAGAAGCAGGCATACCTTCATTTACTATATAGGCTGGCAGTATTTACCTGAGCTTACGCTGCAATGCCAAGCCACAGGCAAGGTCCTCACTGCTGCAGTGCACAGTCCTAAAATATCTTTTCCTCTTTGTGACATGTGTTACAGCCTCTGTACTTGACACTTAGAGAAACGGAAACATTTCAGGTTTATCTCTGAATAATCAGTATGCCTTTTACTTTGGGCGTTTATATGAACGTCAGTGGAAGAGATTTGCAATTTCCCCCACGTCTTTGAAGTGTCCCCGTCTTTCACCTGGGTGCCCCTGTCCCACCTGCAGTTTCTCTGGTTAGGAGAGATAAAGTAGCACTGCCTCTCCTCTGCTCCAAGAACTTTTGGTGAAGATGTCTGAGGGGAATGGTCCAATGCTGCCAATAGCCAGTAATGGTAAAGGGCACCATGTTTGCTTTAACATTTCTCCTTGGAAGGCACCTTCCCACCACAATCACCCAAGCACAGAAAGAAATACCAAAGGGAAATGATCACAGAATCATAGTCATTTAGGTTGGAAAAGATGTTTAAGATCATCAAGTCCAACTGTAATCTGAATGCTGCCAAGTCCATATCACCCAAAACATGCACACTTCAGGATGGTCTCACTGACAATAAAGCCCTGAACAGCACTGAATTTCCACTAACTCTACCAAGTACCTACTGCCACCATATCCTGACCCAACACGGCTTCCATCCCATAGCTGTGTCTGATTTTTCCAACAACACAAGATACACGGGAAAGAGCAGTGCTGCTGAGCAACAGGTAACATCTGAAGTGTGTGTTATCTCCTTAAATACTGCTGCTCCTCACTACAGCTTGGTGCCATTACTGAAATTCAGGCAAATCTCATAACTTTTTTGTTTGTTTTGAACAAACAGTACCTCACTGGGCATCAGTCCACAGATGTGCCACTAAAGATCCCCATTTGGAATGGTCTCTTGTCTCTCCCAAACTCTTTGAATGTCCACCTGCATTCATCATTGCTCCAAAGGCAGAGGGGTAAATATCTGTGAACTAGGAATATCTGCAACTATTGCACATGTGGTGGTGATGATTGGCTTTCTTTGTCCGTGGTACGCAGAGTGATATTGGTCAAAGTTCTGTACATGAGTCAAGCCATGACAACCAAGCTCTGCTGGGTATTAACTCTTAAAATACCTGAAACTAGAAATCAAAACCAGGAACAAATTACTTTATCACAGGAGTTACTGACAGTGTTGAAGCTGAATCTCCACTATCCATATGCAGGTTTAAAACAGCACTCACAAATTTATTAGTGTTGGTGGCAGAGAATATACCTAGGAATCATTCAATGTGGAAAAAGATGTGTTCACCAAATGGGAATTTGGCAGTTCTGTGCCTCTCATCTCCTAAATAGACATGAAAGGCTGCCTGAGCACAAGGAACAAGGAGCCCCAGCAGCTCTGAGACTGCTAGGGAGCTGTGAAGTGTCCAGGCATCTCCCAATGAAGTAGGAACAGAGGCTCACAAGCCACCCCATGCAGTAGCTGGGACTGAGGGTGACACCTTGGACGTTCATACCACACATGTTGTGCTTGGGGGAGGTGTTTCACTGAGCCTGAGTGGGAGAGGAGCAAGCTGCCTGTGACAGGACATCCTCTGGTGCCTGCACTGGTCAGCACAGTCGCAGCAGCACAAAACACCCCCAGCCAGAGACGCCAAAGTGACCTCTGCTTGCAGCTTGCCAAGCTCCACCCCAGGGTCTTCCTATGGGGAAAGCACTGGCTAGAGGAGACGGGATGTCAACATGCATCAGTGGTAGCAGTGGCACAGGCCACTGGCACCTCATTCACAGAGGAAAGACATGGCCCAATGCCCCTCTCTGGGAGACCTTGGCTGTGTCCTGCATGGCAGTGGGAAGCCCTGTCTGAAGGAAGCCCAGGAACCAACCCCACCAACCCCATCAGAAAGGTCATCAGTGCCTTGCTCCTTTCAAAGAGTGGTGCCAGCAGGAAAGGAGAAAGAGGATGAGCAGGAGGAGGACGAAGAGGCAGGTGCCCACGGGAAACAGAGAGGGGTACAGTTGCAGTTGTCCCTAGGTAGCCACCCTGTGAGCAGGACAGTACCTGAGTGCTGGTGCTGCTCCCACTGGCATCATGTCTCAGCCTTGGACGGGATGCCCTGCTTTCACTTGCCCACTCCTTGGCTTCACAGGGGCAGTTACAGTATTATAGCACATGGAAAATGAATAGTGGCATGAGAGAAACTTAACCTGTTTCTTCTGAACATACCCTCAGCAGAAAACATCCTACAGGCACTGCAGAGCCAAACCCTCCCAGCTGCAGCATGGCAATCCAGGTTCACCCGGGAATCATTTTGGCTTGGGTCAAAAGCTTGAAAATACCTTTTGTAACTCGTAACCCGAAATTTGGCACCTTAAGTACCTGAGAGGTGCTTGGCTGCAGCAGTGCAGAGAGAATGGTGGTGCTGGTGGCCACAGTGACCTGCAGATCCCTGTAAAGCCCTGTGGGATCCTCCTGTGGAAGATGTCCTCACAGCACAACGTATGAAGGGAATGTGTTCCACTTCCCTGGTCACAGCCAGGTGGATTGCATCAGTGTCACCTCAGAGGTGACATTTGTCAGACTGCCATTTGGACCATCTGAGAGGTCTTCATTCACTCCATGGCCCCAGCCCTGTTGGCTCTAACATGGCAATGGGCTTATTGACCAGTGCTGTCACTGTAAATGTTTTGGGGCATGGGAGAGAAGCATCTCTCCTTCACTGGAAGTGCCTCAAAGTAGTTTTTGGCTCTACAAAGAAGTTTATCTCCTTCAGCAGAGTCAGTAACACTTTGGCTCAGGAACAGGGATATTTGGGACCGTGATGAGACCATAGTGTGAGACAAGTGAGCAGAAGAGACCAGGGATTCAGAGTCATCCTATACCTAAATCCAACAGTGCCTGGGCACCCCAGCTGCACCCACCCCTGAGCAGGGACCAGTCCGGACCCAGCTCACTTTTACCTCCCCACCGCTTTACTGACGAATGAACATGCGCCCCACTGGTGGCTGGAAAGCCACCACAGCTGAGTTGTCTCATTGCATCTCTCCAGGACAGCAACATGAAGGGATGCGGCTCCCTCTGCTGGGCTTTCCTGCAGAAGTGAGGCACATCCCTGCAGAGATGTGTGTGATCAGCGGCGCTGCTTCACCTCCTTATTCATCATGAGGCTTATTTTAAGGAAGAAAACTCTTCCAGGTCAACAGCAAGACAAAACTTGGACAGTGCTGTTACTGCCACGGTTTCATGCTGGATGAGCTCTTTCTTTGGATGCATACTATTTGGCCACTGTTGTTGCAACCCCTTTTGCTTAGAAAACCACAAAAAAGTACATTGTTGCTCCACCCAAACGCATGGACGGATAGGATCCAACCACACCAGCTCTATAAAGAAACATTTCAAATACATCACTTGAGTTTGGCAGCTTTATTAGAGTTGTTAAGCTTACTCCTCTAAACAATCTACCTAGGCAGTCTCACCCCAGCACAGCCAGAAACATGTCAAAAGAAACAACCAAAGCAGCTTTTCCAAAATGACACATATCTCCCAGCCAGCTTCCTTACATAATCAATTATATAATCAGTGATGATGCACTGGGTTTACATGGTAGTACCCAGTTCCAGCCAACTCCAAGATGGCTCTGCTGCTGGCCAAAGCTGAGCCCATTAGTGATATTGGCAATGCCTCTATGATTCAGAAACACTGTGCAACGGCAGCTGTGAGAGTGAGAATATGTGAGAGAAAAAGCCTTGCAGACTCCACAGTCAGTGAAGATAGAGGGGAAGGAGGTGCTCCAGGTTCTGGAGCAGAGATTCCTCTGCAGCCTGTGGAGAAGACCATAGTGACACATGTTGTCCCTGTGGAAGTCCACAGTGGAGCAGGATGTGAGGTAGGGAAATGTCCTAATTAGAGCAGCCGGGAACAGTTCATCGCTGTGTGGGTGTAACCCAAACTGTGTATTCTACACCCTCTATGTCATTTCCCAGGAACTGTTAACAACAGACCATTTGCAGCAGCTGCCCAGAGCACACCTGACCCCTCAGGCTATGAGCAGCATATTAAGAAGCCTGTGAGATAGGAGGATGTTCTATCCTCACACTAATGACTCAGGTGTAATAACTCCCAGGAGGAGAGTCATTAGCACCTCCACACCCAACCTAAGGGGTCATATCTGTTAATGGGCCATCAAGGATTCCAGACTCACAATCACCCACTGTGGAACTTTCCACCCTGGGGGAGGTACTGGGCATTCCCACTCAAACCTTGTACATAATCTTGGGGTCTCGTGATTTCTGGACTCACTTGTCGGATCCAGAGGAGGACTAGAACCACTAGAACCCTGACTGGACTGCAACCATCACCCTTGACCAGACTGCGACCAGCACTCTCACTAACAAGTTTTCCTCTTCTTTAACTTTAGACTCAGGGGGACCACGTGGGGCTCAGCACAGGGGCCAATGAACACCATTCTGTTCATGCCCCAGGGTGCTGAGTTATACATCTGGGTTTTGTGGGTTAAAACCAATTGTTTGCCCATATAATTGTATTTATTGTGTTATTTTTACTAAATTGTGACTCTGACATAATATCTTTTGAGTTGGGTTCATTTCTCCTGCTGGTTTACCTTTAAACTAACACAGGAAAGAGGTACCAGGATGGATGGGGGTGAGCTGATCCTCTTTTCCATGAGTTAGCAGGCAAAGTCAGTTAATGAAATATAAGGCAGTTACTCCCCTGAGGAGAGAACTGCATAACAAGAGAGGAGCTTGCAAAAGGGAAGAGAGCATCTAATGAAGTGCTTTTACCAGCCTGTGTGCTACATTTTGTCAGAGAAGTATATTCTCTCTTTCTTCAGGGGCTGCCATGTGGCAAAGCGAGCACATGACAGAAAGTGGTTTGTGCATGTGGCTACTGCTGTGCCCAGGGAATTCTTTCTAGGAACAGCCCAACTAGCTGGAGCATGATGTTCTGGATATGCTGTTCCTTACTTGCCCAGGGCTCGGCAAGCTGGTAGGCCATATTCTCAGAAAAGCAGCTTGCCAAAGCCATTGCATGCTCCTCCCAGCCTCC